GTAATAACGCAGCAGCATGCTCGAATTTCCTGCGAAAACCTACCCGTACCACTCAAATTAGAAAACATTATCATAAGATGACCGTTGTGAATCAGGCTAAAGTAAAGCGATAGTTTCGAACACTGGCTGGTTATGTACTTGCTCAAATATTGATTTCGGATCATTTTTAACCAAAAAAAGTTACGGACTGCAGCTTTAAGTTAAAAGGTTACCCGGTATAATTTACATCATACACTGAGAATTTTTTTAATGTAAGAAATATAACTGATATATACCGAAATGAAACAAATTATTACATCAAAATCCAACTGAATTGAGAACTTGTGAATCAGATTTAATCAGAAAATCTGTATCAATACCCAGGCCTATGGTCAACTTTGCAGACTGTCCCAAAAATGAAATGCTCATGGTGAAAGTTATGCCTGGTCTACACTACACGATTTTCAAAGTTGTTCGATTGCTGTTCTTTTCACACTGCACAACTGTTTTGGGTATCATGAAGTTGTTTTTACTAGGACAACAATTTCCAAAAACATTCACGAGAAGTGATGTAAGACTCCTCCCCCTGAAATTGCCCTTGCCTTGTATCTTGCTCTCTCATTGGGTATCTTGCTCTCTCATCGGCACTTCTCTCAGATTGTGTCTTTGATAATTGACATCATGCGATCATGATTCACATAAATGAGCACCAATTTGCCTCAAATCTCAGGTTTTTGTTAGGTGATCTCCAGAAATTGTCTGCAAGTAAAAAATGGGCCCAAAATTGTGTAATGTATACCTGGCATTAAAGACACCTGAATGCATCCATAATGTGTGTGAGAGGGGTCTTTATAGTGCCCTTGCAACATGTTTATACCACAACATACATCTCACCATATACAATTTAATGCATTTTCGACCTTTCTGAAAGCTGACCCTATTTATGCTTCTTACTAAGAGGCAGGACAGAACTGAAGGCCAACTGACCAGTCCAGAGGGAACTTCTGGTTGTTCATGCAGAAAAAAGCCCCTCATAACTCCTGTCTGACAGGTCCACTAATCCAATGCGTCACTATATAAGAGCATATGCATGTGCACATGCCTGTTCTCGGCCTTCTATTAGCTGTACAGGTCAGCCATTTGTCTTACAGTGACAGGGTCATTCGCCCTGTGCCTTGAAGAAAGGCATGTCCTTATCAGTATTATGTTATATGACCAATAAAGTGAAGTGACATGACATGTGGCCAAGTATGGTGACCCATACTTGGAATTAGTGCTCTGCATTTATCCCATCCAAAGTGCACACACACAGCAGTGAACACACACACACCATGAACACACACCCGGAGCAGTGGGCAGCCATTTTTTTGCTGCGGCGCCCGGGGAGCAGTTGGGGGATCGGTGCCTTGCTCAAGGGCACCTCAGTTGTGGTATTGAAGGTGGGAGAGAGCATTCACATTCACTCCCCCCACATACAATCCCTGCCGGTACGAGACTAGAACCCGCAACCTTGGGTTACGAGTCCGACTCTCTAACCATTAGGCCACGACTTCCCCCTACATGTACATGTGCAGGTCAGACAGTGTCACCATAGATACCATATCCATCTCCCATGATACTTCATCTCATATCGTATGACAACATTTTGACAAATGGATAAGAAAAATTGAAGAATATTACACTGCATCTATGTGAAGATGGCCAATACATATTTTAAATTGATCTCAGATAGGCAACACTGAATGTAAACAACCAGAAGGCAAAACTGGAACTGGACAGACCACCTACATTTTTTATGAAATAGCGGAATATTGCTGAGGTGCCAACGGCAGGTTGCATACAGGATCCAAAGCAGTTCTTATATTGTTCTAAGCGCATAAATGTGTGAAGTATGCCCTCTGCAGGTTGTTTAATAATTATGGATTTATGCGCTGTTCAATCTCTCTATGTTCTATGCTTTTTATTGCACATCATATAATATAAATTATACAGATATGATTATACAGATTCTTTTCTGATTTTAAAGTAAATGCTCAGTTGCATTCTTTGGAAATTAAGTCATAATCTGAACCCAAGACTAAATTTGAAATATTCTTTCCTACATAGTAATTTGACATACTAGATTTTAAGACAAGATAATTCTGTACCATTAAAAAATGGAATTAAAAATGTTTAAAATTATGCACACTCACATGAATATAACTTAACGTTCTATATGGAACATTTAAATGTTTAAATTTGTGAGTTGTTTTATGTATTTATTTACACATTTTTTTTTTAAATTGATGTCATCTTTTTCTAGTTTTTATCTGATGTTGGCAGACTTAACATAAACAAAAATACTAAGTGCGTTTGGCTTCAAAAGAAGAACATCATTTGTTCAAAAGAAGTGGGGGAAGGATTCTGAAATCAGATCACTTCTTGG